GATATAATATTAAAGTAGAATGGCTATTACCAAAGACAAGAAGACTTAGAAAGTCTTAAAACAAGACTAAGGACTAGAAATGCATTGACAAGAGTAAAGAAGGCTTCACTCTTATCTCCATATATACTCTTAACTAGGAGCTACATGGTGATGTTGACTTTGCAAGACATCTTTCTTAATTTATAAGTTTTTTATATGTCTGTCACATAATTAACTTGTTCCACAAGCTACCAATATGTGGTTAACTTGTTGATCAAGTTTCTAATCTACTAATCAATTACAAACATATGTAAAGTCAAAGTAGCATCCATAAAGTTTTTAAGAAGCATTTCTAAGAAATATTATTAAAAAAATCTATTTTTACCTACTTCTACTTGATCATATAGGTAAATATTAGAATAAATATGTATGTCAGTAAAAATACTCTATATGAATGACTTGATTCTTGTGTCCAATAATAAAGAACTTCTCTTCAAAACAAAGAAAAATTTAATTGAAAGGTTTAAAATGAAGAATTTAAAAGAAATCCATTTCATTTTGGGCATGTACATTATGAAGAACCAAAATATTCATAAAATCTATCTGAGTCAATAAAAATATATAAAATACATCCTTTAAAGATTTAGCATGAAAGATTATATATCTTTGGCTATACCTTTGGATTCTAATAGAAAATTGTCAAGAAATATGAGTCCACAGATTTGTGAAGAAGTTGAAGCAATGAAGTCGATTCTATACTAAAATGCAGTTGGTAATTTAATTTATGCAATGATAGGAAGTTGGGCCAATATTTCCTATCTAGTAGGAATTGTTAGCTAATATATGGCAAATCCTAGCCCACAATATTGGATAGCAATGAAACACATTTTATGATATCTTCAAAGCACATCAAATCATATGCTATAATATCATGGAAGTTCTTTGAGTTTACAAGTAATTGGTTATTGTGATATAATCTATACAAGAGATACTGAAGCACAACATTTGACCATTAGGTATTCATTCTTGTTGGTTGGTGGTGTAATTAATTAGAATAGCAAGAAGAAACCAATGGTCATATTATCTACTATCAAAGCAGAGTATATAGCAGCTATTCATGCTATAAAAGAAACAATTTGACTTCAAAGACTTTTTAAAGACATTGAATTTTTACAAGATAATCTTTTGACTATTTTTAGTGATAATCAAAATTACATTTTTCTTTTAAGATATTCTATAATCCATGCTTGTATTAAGCATGCTGAAATTCACTATGACTTTATTTATAAAAAAATTAAAAATAGTAACATTAATTTAGTTTTTTCTAGGATTCAAGATATAATTATAGATATTTTGACCAAAGGTCTAACTTGTGAATAACATTATAAATTCAAAGAAATGATGGATATCATCAAATTGAATTAGTCTAATATGTCATTAAAGAGAAGTATTAATAAAGAATATAATTCTTATTAGAAAAAATATAGAATAGGCGATTGACATTGCTTTACTAATTGATAAGTTGTAACCACTATTTGTTGGTAGTAATACCATTTAGTTACCATAGCCTGCTAAACTATTATACAGCCTAAGAAGACAAGTATCCATATATTAATTAGACATTGTTGACTAGGCTAGTTGTTTGTATGTTCATATTAGAAAGTCCATGTGGTTAGACATTAGACTAATAATATAAAAACTCAAACTCAAAGCTCATTTTGGCAAGTGGTTTTAATTCTCTTCTCTTCACATATCTGTACTTCTATTCTAATAATATACTTTCTCATATTTTATCACAGCACATCATTTATATATAAATTTATAAGATAATATAAAGGTCTTTTAATTATTTTATTTTTTTAATTACTTATCTTTATATGTCTTATATTAATCTTAGATATTTATGTTGATTCAAAAGATATTTTACTTAAAGAAATCACCTTAATTAGAAGGTATGTAATTTATAAATATTCAACAAAATATTTGAATTTTTTTAACTTAAATCAATATTAATTCATAATACAACATAATACTACTAACTTCTATTAAAATAAATAAGTTACAATAAAACTTCAATCATATAGAATTCTATACTAACTTAATTATGAATTAAACTTAAAAAACATCACTTTGATTAATACAAAAAAATTTTAAAAAAAAACAAAAACAAACAAAAAAAACAACAACAACAACATCAAAGTCAAGTTTACACCAAACAATCTAGATGAGACTTTTGATGTCAATTAGATAATTAAAATACCAAATCAAGAGCATCCCTTTAATCTAACTTTCTTGTAAATTTATACTATTACTATTTAATTATGGTAGCTAGTTGTCTTTCTTTGAGAAACTATTTTATTATTTTTTCTTGGATTATTCTAATCAAAATATTTAATTTTAAAGTGAGTTGGATATGTCTTGCCTACATTATATTTTATAATTTGGATGTTTATTCAATTTAAAAGGCTTGATTTTAAGATGTATTGGATGTTTGTGACTTTTCTTAAATTACTATCTAGATCTTATTAATCAAAGTTATTTTTTATTGTTGAAACCTTATTAATTCAAATCTAATGCTAAACTAACTAAAATGGCTATTATCTTATTTTTAAATTAAAAAGTTATTTTTCAAATTATTTTGAATCAAAAAAACAACTAAAAGATAATTCAACTAGAATATTATTATATATATTTATATTTTTGTTTTTAAAAATATATTAAATATAATTTAAAAACTTGAATAATTCTATTTTAATTCTAACTATTAATATTATTTTCAAAAAAAATAACTTTAAAACTATTTATAAGTCTTTATAGTATTTACTTTTAAAAAAAATATAAAATAACCTTAATTTTTATTTAGTACTATAAACTTAAAAGAGACTCTTAATGCTTAGTTATATCCTTAGAAGTAGACATTGCACTATGTAACATATTAAATATTGTATACAAAGATAATTCTACAAACCTTAATAAAAATGAAATAATTGGAAACTCTTTTAGCTTCAATGTAGTAGATTATAATAGCTTAAAGAAGTAAGATTTTTTTTTTTAAACTTTTTTAGGATAATATAAATAAAATTCATAATTTACTATATATAGAAATAAGACTAATTAATTTTATTTAAATTATCCAAACTTGATTGAAGATTCTTTGATAATTTTTACTTAAAAAAAACTCACTTAATGACATATTTTTTAATATTTTTTTTAGTTTTTTTTCTATTTTAGTTATAAATGAAAATTATTTCTCTTGAACTTTTTATTAAGATTTATATTCTAAACAAAGATGATTTAATAGTTATAATTTTTTTTCAAATTTTTTTCTTATATAATTTTGATGTATAATATCTGCACTTTAATATTTTACTATTCTAAATATATTTCAGTGTGTAATATCTTTGTAAATAAAATTTAATAATAATAATAATAATAATAATAATAATAATAATGTTTAATAAATAGGTAATCATAATTAATAGAACTTCATATTTTGTAATTATTCTTTTTATTTCGAATAGTACATAATTTTAATTTTTTTAATCTACTTTTAATCTTTTATAAAACATTAAATTTTTTTTACATGCTTTTTTAATATTTTTTTAAAATATACCTACTTGGCTTATTAAAAATTGGTTTATTAGATTTTTATAATAATTATTTTGCCTTCTTATTATAAATGTGTCTCATAATCAGTTTAAACTTAGATCTAATTTTATTTTGAACCAAATTTAATCAAGTTTTAAGAGTTGAAAATAATCTAATTTATAAAACATGAGTTTGTTTCTAACTATTGGTTAAAAATACATAAATGTTATGACAGACCTACACCTACTTAAGAATATAAAGAGTTATTTACATTATGAAACTTTAACCAATTTGTACATTCCAAAGGTTAGATTCAAAAAACACATATATTTGTTGTAAAAGAATAATTAATCTGAAAAAATACAAATAAACTTCTATAGGTAATTAGATAAATACTAAAGAATTTTCGAAAAGAATATTTATTGTAATATATATATTTCTTGATACTTTTATTTAAACTACATAAGGCCATCAAAACATATTTGTAGGTAAATATGGATATAAATATATAGATAAATATAAACACATTTACATATATATATATATACATATATATAGATATATACATATAGCTATATATAGATATATACATATAGCTATATATAGATATATACATATAGCTATATATAGATATATACATATATATAGATATATATAGATATATACATATATATATAGATATATATAGATATATACATATATATATAGATATATACATAGATAAGAAGAAAATCTTATGCATTATTAAGTTTTTATGGCTTTTTTACTTTGTAAAATTATACTTATTTATCAAAAAATACATTATAACTTGTAATAAAAATCACATGAATTAAAATATAAATACTTTAAATATATTAAAAATAATTTTCAGATAAATAAACATAAATATATATTAATAATATATTTATTTTTTTCTGTATTTAAATAATCATAACCAATTTATAATATAATTTCTAAAATATTTTTTATTTAAGTAATCTTTATTATATTACAATCTTTTTGATTTTATTTATAAATATCCTAAAAAAAAGGTCCAATGTTTTCACGCTCTACCTTTAGAAATTCAAAAATTTAAAATAAGTACATATTATTTATTATAATAGAAATTATTATTTTAAACCATTTATCTTTATATATGTATATTACTTTTGAAAATTTTATTATTATTTTTATCATTCATTTTTTTTAAACAGATGTGTTGCGAATTACTTGCCACAAAATCCTAAATTATTTTAGACTTTAGCTTTGCATGTATTTTAAATTAAATAGACAAATTTGCATAGAAGCTATGAAATTTGTTTAAAATCAATTAGCATTGAAGCTATTAAGTGACAAATACCTGGTAATCTTTTAGTAGTACCGACAGCTACTACACATAGATATGTAAAAGACAAATATAATAAAATAACATCCACTCACTTGTTCTCATTGCATAGCACCAAACTTCAAAACCAAGTATAACATGATGCACAAACAAAACCACACGTTGCTCGCTAAATTACTACGTGACATTCGTTTTCATCAGAAGATGATTGTGGGAGTCTACATCTGCTTACTGCTCCATTTGCAAGGGAAATGGAACGCACTACACAATTACCAGAAACACAGAAAAGTCCATGGTTTGCAAGTAATTTACAAAGATGCATGTGGTTTGTGGGGTCTAAAATTTCTCTTGTACACTGTGCTCACTGGCTTGGAGTTGCTGGCTAGCTTGGGTGAAAAATTAATTATCTGTGCTGTTCGAAAACCAGAAACCTACAGTGGACTTTCATCAGCTGGCAATTCTACACAATACAGACTGCAAAAACACTCAGCACAGAAAGGTCTCAAAGATACTGCTCAAGGCAATCTTCACAGAAATCTTGTCTGCAAACCCATGTGCAGCATCGTTTGATCAGACCTTGCTTGGCCATCCATCATATTGTGGGTCTGACAGAAAATCACGCTGCAGTATGTGTCTCGAATTCCTGTGTCTTGAATTTGAGATTAGAAGATTTTGATGTCATGGAAACTTGCATAAGTTGTCCGAGGTTAAGCAGGAATGCAAAGGAATTTCCGGGGCATCTTCCCTGTGGCACGAATGCGAGAGGAAATCTCCTCGGCTTTCACGATCTCCTCTGCCCTGCTTGCCTCCATAGCAGCCCTCTTCTCTTGTGCCTTGCAATGTGCTCTCGCTACATCATTCTTCATTTTCTCAATGTACTTGGCTCTCTTCTTGTCCAAGTTCTCCTGTCGAAGGAGATGACGCAAGTTGATTTCAGCATCTAAATTGCATCATGGGGCTCATTACATCCAATACGGCAGAAAGAATACCCCTGTTAATGCCTGATTATTCGTCACTCTACTACAAGAAGGTAAGTACCTGGGCCTTGCGCATTTTGGCTTCTGCCTTGGCTTTCATTGTGTTCTCCCATGCCGTAATCTTTGACTCATCCCTTGCATATCTGTCACAATATTTTATTCAATTCAATGTAGTATAGTGTGGGCAGCTAATCATATCTCACTTGTGAGATGTTTCTTAGATATTAGGCAGTAAAATTAGGTCATGTCAAGGTACTGTCCTGGACCTACTGCAGAAAATAAATAGAATTCTGTCACCAAAATTTGCTTTAACAATTAAGATTCTTCCCTGGAGGACTCCACGACAATGCATGACAAAGAATGCGTCCGCAAAAGCCTGGGTATGAAGTTCACTTACCGGTTGTACACTTTAGCCTTGGCACCTTCCTCCCAGGCACGGGCTCGCGACAAAGTCTTTTCATGCTTCACGCGCGCAAGGAGATGCTCCAATTGCGCACCCCCAACTGCTACGATTCCAGAAGCTCGTCTCGTCACACAGTCTGGAAGCTGGCAGCCATCTTTTGATGCCATCTGTGAAGGGGCCTCACTGAGATGGTTCGACAGGTATTGGTACGATAAAGCCGCGTCACCTGACTCATAATACCCTACATACGAGTCGTCATACCGTTGTTTTATTTTTCAGTAAAGTTGAATATGGAGAGATACAGGAAGATTCTAAAAATTAGATAATAGTAATCCTATCGTGATAAAACTTTCCCATTGATTCCTGAAGTCGCCACCCCACTTGAAATTTCACATCAAAAAATCGAGCCTGTTCCTTCCGAACAAGAGATTGATCACCTGATTGTGATGGAGTAGAAATGGTCAGCAAAAATTGCGACTGTGAGTGTGGATTCAGAACAGTGTGTTGCTCCTGATGTTGGTGATACTCCCCCTTGGTTGACTGAAAGCTGGCACTCCGTGTGTTGATTAAAGTGACGACATCATCCCCTGGAATTCCTTGCACAGAGTTCCTTGGCATGTCATTGATGTGCACCTCCTGACCCACCGTGTAGGGTGACGATGGCCTGGAAGGACTTTTGGCCATACTCGCTGCTGCATGGTTGGTAGAACCTGAAGCTGGAGGATTGTTCTGGGCTTCTGCCCCTTGTGCATGGGGTAATTGCCCACATGTTGGGGGGAATGCATCCGCTAGTTCATGAAGTTCTGGCACGGCAGGGAATTCCGATTGCTCTTGCGAGTCAGCCTCGTTGATTCGATTGCATGCGCTGCTATGTGAAGGATCAGGTCCTGTGTCTACACGGCAACATCATCAACTATGATTACTCAGATAAAGTAATGTACTGCTTTCAAAAGAAACATTTTGAATATGTACCAAGGAAATTTACTATTTATGCGCACCCAGCACATGACATCCAAAAGAAGCTCTAACTGACGAAACTGTTAACGCAAGGGCTGTCTCTATTCGCTCTGCATTCAAGATGGTGGGCGGTGTACTCTGATCCTCCTGAAGATGAATGCCGTTGTTCCCGATCGCTATTCGTACTCCAGAGTCATCATGCTTGCCACGCGGCGTCTCTGTGTTGTGGAAGCAAATATATCACTAAGTTATCAATGTATCAAGACTTTACCTTTGTTGAAAATCATGAATAACATGTTTTTTTTCCTACATTTTGATCAAAATGACACGAATTGCCAGAACTCCAAGAAAAACTCTCATGCTCATATACGAGTCAGTTAACTTCTGCATTGATTGTGCATTTGTTCGATTCTGCATGCGGAGTAGATTTTGATTCACGAATTGGGGCTGGTTCATCGACACAGAATAGGCTCCGCGATGTCTTCGAGTTCATCTGGGCTGAACGGTGAACTATCATTGCTTCAATACAGGTGAACGAATGAAGATATAGAACCAGCCACAAGCAAAGCAGCCAGAAAAAACTCTTCGTCTCTCTCGAGCTTTGAAAGTTATCTTTTTCACAGCAGTATTGTTTTTTTTAAAACTATCACCTCTGAACGCTCCTTCAACCTCCAATGTCTCCAAGGCAGATCAGCATCCTTTTCGCTAGAACAAGCAGAGCTAAAGAAGGTTTTTGAAGATGAGAAACAACGCTTTCTCAAAAGCTAAATATAACAGGAACTAAGCGCGATTCCTCCCAGTTCTAGGGTCCCACCTTGTGCATCAGGACCATTTGCACCGAACATCAGTGCAGTCTTGAAAGAGGAAAAGATGTTCTTGGGAATCTCTGCTGCAGCTCTTGCCTTGCGAGGAGTCAACTGAAAAATCGAAATCAGTAATTATATTTAGAATTTTTTCATGTAAGAAAATAAAGACACTATCTAGAATCAAGGTAATGAATTGGTAGAGTAAGGACAAATTACGTGCTCGACACGTAAAGCCCAACATATCTCCAAGGATCTTGCTCACTACTTCACCTACAATATGCAAATTTCCACATTCCTAAAGAGTTCTTCATAAGCTACTCTTTATGAATGGAGAAAACAAAACGAGAATCACAGAATAATTTATCTGATCCAGAAGCACCTGGTTACACGCGTCATTGCATGACTTCTGAAGTTCACCAACGTCAATATGAAACTGGGGTACAGATGCCGGCGTCTTCTCCAGCTCCTCCGTCTCATTCACTGTATGCCCGTTCGAAGTTGGCAAAGAAAATTGCGGTGTTTTGATCACCATAGCAGCCATTCTTGCCCGCTGCTGTATCCAATATGTGTCTCTCGGCCTCTTGTTTGACCTGGAATGTAATGGACTCCGAATGGGAGATTTAATTCCCTCTCTTATTTCCGAACAATGCAGGGATGAAACAAAACTGCAGTCGATTTCTCCAACGTCGCCTGCTTCTTTTTCTACAGTCAACTGCAATTGAAATGCAAGATTAAAGAATAGTTATCAACTTTGGAATGACAGTGGGGGGAATGTGGAACTCCTCTGCCTCGAAATCTACATCAATCAATCAAAAAACCTTATGGGTACCAAAAAGAGTTTTGATGGTAATTTTAATAAATTGCTTCAGAATATCCACATTAATTGGGAAAGTCTGGCTATTGAAAAACTTTACTACTACCCCCCCCCCCCATTGTGTTTAATCAAACGCTTGAACATCAAAGAAATTGCCTAATAACAAGAAGTATGCGTACCTACACATCATATCCAATGATCCACACAAGCCAGAATTCACCTATAAAAAACTAACTAAGTCCCACCCAAATACTGCGAGTCTCTGAAACAAGAACGTCGAAACAGAACAATCCCCCAACTCTCCAAGCCAATGAAGGGCAACCAAAATTCTCCACAAAGAAGAGCGTCTCTAAACCAAAACACAGCTTCGTGTAGGAAGGAAGCCCCGGATCTGAACAATCAAGAGTAGTAGAAACAAGCCCTGGCTGCGAAAGGGATAAAGGGGTAAGTAGGTGACAGAGCTTGAAACAAGAAATCAAACTAAGAATCAAAGACAAACGTTGGCCAACAGACGACGACGTCTCCACCGCCTCAACTGCCAAGAGTTGAAGATGAAGAGATCTCCAATTCACAGAGGGGGACCCAAAAAAGGATTAAGGAACTTGGCGTGGGGGGTAGGGAATTAGCAAGCAAGCAGCAACACAAGATCATGTCCTTCGTCTTCTCCCTCACAAACAAGATTCAGCGATCAGCACCCTCAACAAACAACCCAACAAACAATTTAACAGACTCACTTCGGCTTTGCGGCGTCGGAGCTTGGAGCCCGCGAGCCGCCGCAGGGGAATGGGAACGTGATAACGTGGGAACGAGGGAACCATAACTGACTTGCAACGGTCATGGGGTCAGCTGAAAGGAAGAGGAGGGAGGAGGAGAAGTTGGGTGGTGGTGAGGTGGGGGGTGGGTTACTCGTAAGTTACTAGTAAGCTGGGTGGTGGTGGAGATGATGACGTGGGGGTGGGGTTACTAGTAAGTTGGAGTGGCGCCACCTCGGATCATGATTGGCGGGTTGGCCAGCTCACGATCTTCCCCCGCTCACGGTCCCTCCTCCATCTCATGATTTTAAGCTTATTAGGACGGGAAGGAGGGGGGGTTTCATTTTTGATGCATCTTTTATTCTGACCACCATTTTCACACTTACAAAAAAATATTATAAATTCAATTATTTATTTATTTTTATGTTTTTTTATTTGTTTAAATTGAAAGAAATAGAAAATATCATTATTGGCTTATGATGACTTATTATTTGAATGGAGAAAAAAACACTCACTCACACACAAAAAGTAGTGTTTGTATTTTATTTTAATTTTATTTTTTTTATTTTTTTCCCTCTTTAACCTTATAAATTGGTTTTACAGTGTTACGTGTTAGAATCGTTCTTATTTTGTTGCAATATTTCAACTTTTAAAAAATAATGAAGTGCATCTAATGTACTAATCTGTAATTATTGGAAATTTATTTTTTAATTTTTTGAAAAATAGTTTAAACGTATGAACATTAAGTTCGAGCTATATATCCTGTTATGCTTAATAACTACAATTTTACACAACTGTTCTCTACAAGTGTAAGTTGGTTTTTAGAAGTGCAAATAGAATCATGGAGTGACAGATGGAATTTGTGGTATCTTGGTAAAAACTATTGTGAAGAACATAGCTTTTAACAACATAAATTCACAATATAAAAGGAACATCCCATTTATCAAAAAAAAAATTGCAAGTCTCAAAAAAAAAATTACTTTGGATATTGAGGTGGCATGGCTTCTCTGGAAGTACAAATTTTGCAAAAAGAAACACAAATATGAAGAACACAACTTGACACTATAAATATGATTGGATTATATAATAGAAGGATGAAGAAATAGAAGCAAATACTTACTTTTTATTAAATATTGAGATATTTTTTTGAATAACCAAATCAAATACAAGAAGTTTAACAAATTCATAAGATAAACAAAGCCTAAGGGGAAAAAAAATGTGCAAAATAACTCCTTAATGGGTTTTACCACTTATGCTTATCTAAGAAGTTCTTAACAAGATGTATTGTTGTTAACAAAGGTTTTGAATGGATCTAAAAACCAATTTTCATACTTATGTTTGTGACATACTTAGTTATATATTTGATAAGATGCAAGAAAAATAATAAAAAGTAAACAAGTGCATACTTTGAATAAATTAATTCAAATTGTAAACACATGTTCTAAAAGTTCATTTATTTACTATTTTGGTCATATCTAGGGTAATGTATTGAAAATCCAAATATTCTAACATTCAAACGTAAAAAACCAATTATCTTAAGTAGAATTATTTATATTCAATATATTTCATATATCCTTCCATGTTTTCATTCATCAAATTTGTACAAGTTTCAGAGCATATTCGAAAAAGAAATAAAAAATACTACAAAAAAAACCCAAAAACACTCCAAGTAAATACTTCGTATGGAACTTACGTTTGAAAGAAAATTAATTGAATTAAGGCATTTCGTTCATTTCCATAAACAAGAGAAAAAAAATAAATCTAATAAAGTAAATAAATAAAGAAGCCATAATAAATCACCCATCGAAATCATATCAAACCAACACAATTGGCAACGAGAGTTCGAAACCGATGAACGAAGTTCACCACGTTGATGAATGAAAACATGGAAGGATGAATGATGCTATGGAGATGTCATCCGTTGGGGGAATGGGGGGGGACGGTGGTCATGGGTCACCGCGAGGAGAATTGAGGCCATTGCATGCCCGCGGCGCCGACGCAGCGCGAGTCGTGGTGGCCGTCGCGGTGCGCGTCGTCGGCGTCGTCGCCCTCGCGTCGCGAGCAATCGCGCCCGGCGCGACTGGACGAGCAATGTGGCGCAGAATGCGACCAAGTGTCGCCGGGCAACATCTTCAGCCTCGGGTCTGGGTAAATTTGCATGTCATTGAAGAGCTCCTCGCACTCTTCCCGCAGCATCGCCAGGTTCTCCATCTCCACCCGCTGGTCTATGGTCACGCCGTGCTTGAGCATCACCAGCCGCCCTCCCTGCAGGATGCGCCACACGAATTTGTCTAGGGCGTGCGGGAACTCGTCGCCGACGGTCGACTTCTTCGGCGCCTCGAAGCTGAGCTCGCGGGATGCCACCGCGTGCACCCTGCCGATGTAATGTCCGAAGCACTCCTTGGGCGCTCTCTCCAAGAATTGACTCAGCCACTCCTGTATCGCCCTCTGTCGGTATGTTTTCCTCTCTTCGACTTTCACGTGGTTTAAGTTGGGGGGTGGTGCGGTGACTGCACAACTCGCCTTGCAGTCCTGTGGATTGGACATCGTTTGGACTGAAGCTGTCGACGTATGCAAGCGATTTTTTTCAGGCTTTTTTTATCAATTTGTTTTTTGGGATGCAGTGTAGTCACCGTAACGTCCCGACGGTGACTGCTGCGGGAGAGCAAATATCTTCCTGCTTTGGGTCACTGTGTGATGTGGAAGACGAGGTGCGAAGTCTTCGTGATGATCCATAAGATGGATGGCGGTTGGTCACCAACAGTCAGGCTGAAAAGACGCTTAAATTTTCGGTTTTAGAGCACAGTTTGAACGTGATACCCTGTTAAAATGGTTGTCAGGTGAAATGCGTCGCTCACGAGTTGCACTCGACAACCATTTAACAGACTATCGCGTTGCACCAGCGAAAGGCGTACACGCCAGGACGAACGCACGGGAATCCTATTCATCTGATCATGGATGTGGCACCAATGCTAACCTCGCTGCGGTGAAAACACTCCTGTACCTTAAAACTCATTCTGTACGTTCTTCAGACATCAGCGGATGAACGAAATACTGAGTTTACGCGATCCGCCCAGACAAATGCGGGCGATTTCTGCATCGGTCGTAGAACCAAAGGTACCGAACAAAACCGTTAGCCTCAGCTGGAGCCTTGAGCGGGGTTAGCCCCAACTCTCTGCAGATTACCTCTGCAGTTATTTCCGTCCTGCTAGGGTTCAGTGCCAGTTGCCACCGTGTATTCCATGAAGAAAACATGGAAGCCTTCGCCTCTCAGTCTCAGGGTCACAGAATTTGTACGAGGAAAACTGTTGTTGCGTCAAGTTCATTCCCTACGTCCACAACATAGCAGGTGTCACATTAGTGTAGCAGTGTATTGCAATCCTCCCTGTTAAGTTTATCCAAGCAATTGAGTTTACAGCAGAATGCAACTCGAATCCGTTTTTTGTTTTCGAGCAACTGGGATCAGGAAATTAAAGCAGAGAAAGATCCAAGCTGAAGTTTCTGGATAAATGTGACGTTTAGCAAGTGTGGAGGTCGACTTTCTGGTATTCCATGGTTTTTCGGTCTTTCTGGACTTGCCTTCGGTCCAATGGTATCTTTCCAGTCAATACTGTTGCAGTACCCGGAGGGCATGAAGTAATCTTCTCTGATGGAGGCGTTGGACGTAAAATTGAAGACTGGATCACCGCACCAAAACATTTCGGAATTGCAGCATTGAATAGTTTCTGATGCTGCAGGTTCAAAGCTTGGAACTGCACAACCTGCTGTGAACGACAATCTTACCTTTCCCAAAACTAAGGTGTGGTGAGTTGTGGATCATCGGATCCTTGAGTACTCATGGCTACAATGCGCCGTCTTTCTCAGGGATACATCACAGGGTCTGCAGTATCTCAGTGGGACCAATTGTGCCCTAAATGTCAAACTATTGTCAAGGAACAGGGGTATGAGACAGAGCTGAAATCAGGACCAAGTTTTCAAGTGCAGGTGGTGAGGCTCGAGATGGAGAAGAAACTGAAACTGGTGGAGGACAGGCTTCACGAGAGAGAAGAGAGTGAGCGCGCGTTGCAGGAACAGATCATATTTTTGTCTACATGGGATCCAGTTGTGATGAGCCCGGGCTACACGGATATCATCCTACAATCTGGAGGTCACATCGTCAATGCGCACCGAGCAGTGCTTGTAATGATCCCCACATTCAGCTCAATTCTAAGCTCTCTTTATGCACTAGAGCTAATGTACAGACGAATGCACAGAGTGTCGCCAAGGCTAGACTACCTAACACTGAATTGGTACCCCTTGAACCAGTGAACCAAATCAATCTGACAAAAAGGGAACCACCAACTTGCACGGCCTATATTTCAGGGTTTCAAACAACCTTTTCATTCCAGACTTCTGATCGTTCTTGAACAGAATATGCATTTCTAGTCGCAATACTTGTCTGAATTTTTTTGAGTAGAAGAGAAATATTGTATTAACCTGATTCAGTGTTTCAACTCAAAAAAACATCGAAGCTGATACTGAACACGATCAATTTGACACGCAGGCTGCAAAATCCGATGTGATACTGAAGTTGATGAAAGGGAACCTGGATCAACTAGGGACGGTGTCAATGGAGTTGCACATTTTCCCAGAAGCGTTGGATGCATTTGTGCGCTATTTTTACACAGGCCACATAAGCCATAGAGACCTCAAGAGGTACGCAACCAAACTCCTGACCGCGGCCAAGAGGTACGGGGTGAGATCTCTCCAACTCGTCGCAGAGCGTTACATTGCAAAGCATGTTTCCAAAGAGACAGCTCTCAGTACCTGGGAACTGGGTACTGACCACAACTCAGAAATCATCAAGGAGTCTGTGCTGCAGATTCTTGTGAAGGACGTGCAAGACATTCCTAAACTCGGAGAGTATCGCATGTATAGGTGCCAGAAGGACCCTGAACTCCTTGTTGGGCTGTTCGAAAACCTCCTTGGAAGAGTAACGTAACGATTGCACACCTTCATTGTCACATGCTCCGTGTCACCGAACAACGGGCAGGAAAGTTGAAACCCTAAACACTTGCCAGCCCTAATTTTCCAATGCTTGAAAGAAACCTCTCCGCCCTTGATCATGTCCGTTTTCTGTCTCCACTACAGTCAATTCCCTTCCAAGGGCTGCACGACGGCTGCGCAAAAGACCCATTTCGCCACTCCAAGACCAATTGGGTCAATATTAGGATTGGATCAAGCAAAGGCCGCTACACACAAGTAACAGCACACACCGCTTTTAACAATGAAAGCGAGAGATCCTCGGCGCCTCTTCTAACCGCATGGGTGAAATCCTAGACTGCTGCGACCTCCTAGGAACGACCTACGACCAGCACGGTGCGTCGAAGCATGAGACCCACAAAAAACGAAACAGAGTGACAGAGTGTAGTCGGCCAAATCCAGAATTCCCAGCACCGCGACCCTAAAATTTCAAGGATTTTTTGGGTCGTTTGGGTGAATGTGGACAAGAATTCAAGTGGGTCGAACGCGGATTATTATGTCTCTTGCTTCGAATGGCACAATCGGGCGCCATTCGAAGCTCCGACACCATCGATTAGGGTTTGGGGAAACGATGAACTAACTCTAAAGCAGCCGCTTCAGCTCGGTCTGGGACTCGCCGAACCTTGTGGGTCGGTAGTTTCGTGGCCACTCTCTTCATTAGAAATCGTGTCATTTGTTTGTGAAATGGGTCATTCTCGAAAGGTTATTACAGAAATAAAGAAGAAAAAAAAATCAAAATCAAAATCGGAATCAAGCACAGTGGAATCTATGCTCCATCATTTTCTTTGTCAAAAATATTGTGTTGTTGTAAAATGTATATGTATATATATTAAAAAAATGGTTGAAGAGCATTAAATGCATTTGCTAGAATGAGATATTAAAGAAACATGGGGAAATGGGTGTAGTATAACAAATAATATATGTTGTTCATAGGTTTTGAGAGATTGGTTTTAGAGGTTAGATTTAAGATATGGATACTAGATCTTTTTATTATTATTTTTGTAATTAGTTTTGAATAATAAAATATTGCAATTGAGAATGAATAGTAAAAAACTTGCATTTGAATAATGTTTTTTACAAGCCAGATCAAAAAAGCTTACTTGAAAAAGGATGACAATTTTATTATTCAATTCAAGTAAATGCATGTGAAGTAAAATAGTTTTATAATAAAATTTTAGAAGACAAAGAATTATGAATCAAAAGTTTATAAATTCTGACTTAATATTACACTTTGATATTCCTTGGAATTAAGTGTTATCCAATATGAGTCATTAGATTTTAAATTTCATTCCTTCAAAACAAAAACTCATTTTCTTCACGAAAAAAAATTCAACATTGTAAGATCAAGATACCAATCCAACAACCTAAATAAATAGAAACTTTGGTTGAATTTCAATACATGTAGTCTATATCTTGAAACATATACTCTTTTTTATGATGTATTTATTTCAAAAGCCAAAACAACCCCCGGTATATTGATGTCTCGGATCCTTGCAAGATGGCTTTGCCAAATATAACTCACATCATGTTCTTTTTGAGAGGAAGTGACATTTGTGACCATGATTGCGGTGTTAAAATACTCCCTCAACATCACACATAAGTTTTGATGTATAGTCCATATATGAACCCATGAAGTATTAATTGTTCTTCCAAAACCTTCCACAAAAACCCTATTTCCAAATAAAAAAACTTCATTTGGCGTGAAATGGAATGTTTTGCATGTTGTTATCCCGGTTAATAAAAGCTTCATATGTTGGTGACCGGGAGGTCCATGGTACCACCAATCAAGTTCCGGAGACAAACACGAACTTATAGATGTAATATCTTCTTTTGAAATAGATTGATACAATTTGAGAATCAAGTTATTGTTGTCACTTTCTTCATTGGATTTTGGAATGTGTTGATTTATCATATTTCATATTTCATGTGAACTCAAACATTGATTATTGAATGATGATAATAGGTTGATAACCTAACTTTGTAAGAATCAAACAAAGATGGCAACAACACCCATTGTTTGCTTCATTTGATTGAATCTTATATTGCTTCATATATATATATACATACATATAATTTACTATACAACAGATCTATCATGGATTAGGTGTTGTAATGTTGAATATTTTTCAAGTTTCAGAAAACCTAAAAGAAAAATAATTAATACAGGTTTCAACAATGATGATCTTGATAAAATAAATAAAATAAAATCATTATGATTCATTCTTATTTTTAATTCGTTCCATGTGTTTTTAACATTAATGCTTGCATTTATTAATTATATTACATTGTAACCTTTCAGTTCTGAAATATTTGGAACCATTTTAAATATTCATTGTAAATATTTTGAAAGTACAAATAAAACAAATTCCAACTTCAAAACCCAGTCTTTTCTTTGAATATTTTTATGTACAGGGAACATGTTTTTTCCGGAAATCATAAAAAAAAGGAATATTTAAATATATATAGATATATATATATATATATATATATATATATATAATAAAAATTATGTACATGAATTTCAATTCAATTTTATCACCTATCAAGTCTTTTCCTTGAAATTTTCATTATAAAAGTGATTTAATACTTACTTCAAACAAAAATAATAGTATTGGTAGAAGGAAGCATCATAAATTAAGAAAATTTTATTAAATTCAAAGCATGTAAAAACATCAATCAAATTTAGTATATACAAATACCATGCTAAATCCATATTTTATGACTAATTACTATTATTTGATGGAAATTTAATTTCAGTTGAAATTTTTTTACATATGGAAGATTCAATTTTGGCTGCAATATATTAATTTTTATAACAGTATTTGACTTTAGATAGCAAATCCAATGCATCATTTGAGAAGGAATTTAAGAAGCCATAAAATACTAGTAAAGGAAATTTGAAGAGGACCCAGCAAAGTATTGAAAGGACAAAATCAACATTTTGTTCTTGTTGACTTAGTGGTACAAAGTAAGTAGCATGCTAGGCATAATCCTCAACAAATAAATATTGCACAATAGATGATTATAAGAAATCCTAAATTTAGGGATAATTTTGCCTAATTCCTCATCATCCTTAGTATTGTCAATATTTTGTAAATAAATTGACTTGAATAAGTATATAAATATCTTTTGATTGTAACTTTGTTACTTTGGAACAATTCTATAAAATTTATCAATAGATATGCAAGTTTATCAAAACTTTAGTGCCTTCATGACCTTGTTAAAACTTCTATAAACTTTATTGTAAATTTTATAAAAACTATATATAAATAAATAAAATATATTCTTATCATACCATTAGCCTTTTAGCATTTGTCAACAAAAAGATTCTACTACCTACAAACTTTGTAAAAAATTATAAACATTCTTACAAAATCTTGTAGAAGTAGGAACAAAAATTGTTTTTTTAACTCTTTAACTTTCCCATTACTCTTTAATACCCCCTCCTCCTCCTTGTTGAATGAGGATTGAATTGGATGATGTTCTAAACATTATTGAAATCGTTCAGGGGTTTGCAATGATCAGTTTAGATCAGTGGTAGCAATCTGTTGCAGTAATTTTGCAGCTATGGCGGAGGCGAGGCGGCCCGTGCCCTTGTCCCGTCGACCCGTAGACCTGTTCCTGGCGATGTTTCTGCTCTCGAACGTCCCCGTGGTGGTGCTGTTCGAGTCCCAGATGTTGTTGCCCGCCTCGCTCGTTTTCAAGCCGCTACGGGACATGACGCAAGCGTATGTGGAATTCGCAGGGGATTACTTGGTGCAGACCGCGCCGGCCTTTCTCAAGGGGCTGGTGGTCGCCGAGTGTTTGTTTCAGCTGCCGCTGTCGATCGTAAATGCCTACGCCTTCATGGCTGGTAATGGGTTCTCGCATTTTGGGTTTTGAGATGTTCGAATCTAGGATCACAATTTGGGAGGATTAGGGTTTTGTGTGTGTGTATACAGTGCAAATGTGGTAGTTTAATGTAAATGGGGAGACAGTAGGATTTTGATGATTAGGAGCCTCGCGACTGTTGTTTCATGTAAACTTAAATGGTACGTGTTTTGGATATAAATGTGGAGATTTAAAGCTACCTAGGTGTTCAGAATTCCATGTTAGAACCCCTCGTTCATCGGGGGTTGCTGCTGCACAAGCTTACTATGATAGTTGGGTTTGATTATAACAGGGAAAGATTGGGGCCGCATCACTGGCATAATATATGCATCTCACGTTGCTACGACCATGGTATTTTCCTTCTCTCCACTCGTCATTATCAACATTCTATATCGTGAGCTTGCTAGTTTTGTTCTGCGTAGATTGACTTCATGGTTTTATTTTATTAATTTTTTTTCAAAGAAAATTGTGTCTTACGCAATATTACTGTATGTCTCCTCCTTGAGTCTAATGTACCTCGTGCACTTGTCGGTGGTCTGAAACCATTCAAAGTACTTTACATGATTTGTAGACATTTATGGTTGCATTGCATTACATGTGCAGATTTAGTCATACCTCGATTGGCAATGATTGTTTGTATGCAGTTCCCCATCTTGGCAGACATTCTAGCGCACAATATTCCAACTAAGAACTTGCTACTTTCGATCTACTTGCCCTATCTCATTATCCCTTTCATCATTCTTGCACGCCTCGTACCCACGCAACATCCTTTTACAGAAGCAGGACCCCCTTCGATAGCGAAGAAAGGTGATTGACAACTTCAAATGCCCCATTCGGTTGTAGTTGATTTAGACAAACATCTGATATGTGTATGGATCAGACAAACACCTGGTATTTGAACTCTCCCGTGTGATTGTCCTCCAGAGCTAGGCATGGATGTACTACACAATGCTGTGATTCTACAGCTCGCCAATAATTTTTGGTTGACAGAATTGATAACCAAGGATTCATGTCTGAGAAATGAATTTGCTACTTCACCTGGCCGTTCACTTCCAGTGTGTAGAAGTGGGGGCCTGTGGTGTAGGGTTTAGTCATTTGTCTGAAATTATTGTACCGATTTTGTATTGATTTTCTGCTAATTTCAAGTAAATTCTAACTGAGAAATTGCAAGCTCGACATCTCTGTGTTTTGTTTTTTCATGTGTTTCTCCATTACAGTCGATTTTTTTTTTGTCAGCTAGTTTCATATGAAAATAATCACTTTATGTTTTAGTTATAGTTTCTTTAGGAAAGTGTAATTATCTGAGATAACAAGATTTTACCGCCATGTTCGCTTGTTGCAAACTAAATTTTAGACAGTCACAGACTATTCAACTTTTGTGAAAGTACCCGAAGTTGTAAACATTCTCACCTATCAAACATTCATCTTTATGAGACCTAAACCCACATTTGAACAAACTCCCAAAACATATATTCTATGAAGAAAACAACACGTTTCATTCGTCCCAAATACTCCGGCACGAACAGTTTCACAGCGGGTCAATCGCGAATTCGCCATATATACAGGGCCATCAGTAGAGATGCCCACAGTGAAATGACTCTCTGAGCGAACGAAAATTTGAAGAGCGACGGAAGATAACGAAAGACTGACGGACGTTTAGGGGAGAACGTTAGTGAACAACAAGAGAGCGACTGGAACGGAACATGAGAACGACAGAGAACAACGACAGGGCTATTGAAAGTGAACGAGAGAACCACGGAGGACAACGAGAGAGCGACTGAAAAGGAACATGGGAACGACTGAGGACAACGAGAGGCGACTGAAAGGGAACGAAAGAACAACGACGTCCGTTGAGGCGGAATGGCGAGCTTTCTGAGTTTTCTAGCCGAAGCCCACCTCGTTTGATGAGCGTGGAGGGACGGGGGGGACTTCACGGTGTAGTCGATTGATTTCTGCTATCGATGGCGGATCGCCGCAACACGAAGCTGCGGATTGCGCTCTGCCACCCCGATCTTGGCATCGGTACGATGCCGTAAAGACAAGCGGATTCTAATTTAGTACAGAATCGACGACATTGTGGTTGTGACTTTGTTCCTGTTATTGTCGATGCTTGTATGAGGGCATTGTTTTCCGCTCTCTGCATTTTTTTCGACGCTTTTTTGTTTCTAAAAATCGCCTCAGAATTTAATGCTCAGGAGTTCTTCCTGGAGTGTTCAACCTTGCGGATTCGCTCTCAAATCGGTTAATTTTGGTTTTGCTCACGGCGGGCTTTTTGTATTGTATCTGTTCAGGTGGCGCAGAGAGGCTGGTTGTGGATGCTGCCGTGGAATTGACTGCCCTGGGACATCATGTGCACATTTTTACAGCACATCATGATCGGAAGCGATGCTTTGAGGAGACAGTTGATGGTATGTCTTTTCTTGTAATAATCCTGAAATGCTCGATTCAGCTGTAAAAATTCCTAAACCTAAGTCTTGTAGATTTCTCTTTTCAGCTTGAGGCAAGGGAAGAGATCAATCAATTAATTAATTATTTATTCATTATCATGGATCGGTGTCTGCAGGGAGTTTTCCTGTCACAGTGTATGGTGATTTTCTACCTCGACACATTTTCAATCGATTACATGCTGTCTGCGCATATATTCGTTGTGTCTACGTTGCAATCTGTATGGCCCTCTTGTGGCCAAGATTTGATGTCGTTTTCGCTGATCAAGTTTCAGCAGTCATACCCGTCCTCAAATTGAAGAGAGGTTCCAAGGTATTCTCACCCGCAGTGATAAATTTCTTGACCTTGCTATGCTAAGATTTAGGAAAAATCTTCTGCTTGATGCACTTGAATTGAAGCACATTGGCTTGGTCACTGCGAATGTGTTCATTTTCGAGTTCGCTTATGTTATCATTCTGGAGTCTTTGTAATCTATTGTGACACCCTAATATCACGTCGAAGTCTCTGTGATCACAAGGTTCTATTTTTATTTTACAGCGAAGCATAGCCGATGATAAGCATGTCTTCTCTAATATAATTGTTAATGCCTTTTCTAAAGATTGTGAGGCTGATGTTTGGTCATTGGTAGATCTTGTTCTACTGCCATTTTCCAGACCTACTTCTTGCCCAGCACACAACTAAGCTTCGCAGACTGTATCGAGCACCTCTGAATTGGATAGAACAGACGACTACTGGTATGCGACATATTAGGGCTCTCATTTTGGGGTATTACTTGCTGCAGATTGTCAGTTTTTCAATTTTACATTCGTATGTCCTACAATGTGGGGCATTGTGTTGCCGGCTTATCGAAATGATTCAACATATCTCATTTTTTGGTAGGTTGGACAGAATGCCCAAAAATGCTGAAATCATATAAGAATCTCGAGTCAGATACCAGATTCTAGCAGGATACGGCTGTGCGTAAGGTGGAGGGAGGAATTTTCAGTTGAGAAATGGTTCCTTATATTGCCAGTAAGAGGTGGTAGTGGGGTTTCAACCCTTGTGCAGGCATGGCGGACTGCGTTTTGGTGAACAGCGAATTTACTGCATCCATATTTAGCTCCACGTTTACACGACTTCAGGCGCAAGGATTACACCCAGCAGTGCTTTATCCTGCTGTCAACGTACATCAATTTGATACCTCTTCAAAAAATCCCCCTGATCTCTCGTTCATACCTGGGCTTCCAGCTGATGGGTGAGCACTGGTGTGAATGTTGTGTTATTATTTTGACACAGGAAAACTCTGATGTGTGTTGCTAGTCTATGCTAAAAACAAAATTTTTGTTGTATCTTCAGGCATACCTTTCTGTCCATTAACAGGTTTGAGAGGAAAAAGAACATCGCTTTGGCAATATCAGCTTTTGCGATCCTCGTGAGACAACAAGAAAAGTCGCAGTCAACTATGGTGCCCAAAGAACTTGTTCGCTTAGTCATTGCAGGTGAGCTACTCTGCAGAAGTCATTTATTATTTGTCCTGAATATTATGTGTGGAAATCAGCAACAGCCTTTAGTAAAGAACAGGTGTTTGACTTGAATTCTGATTGTGCGCTGCTTTGACATTCATAATTATAATTCTGGAAGACTTCAGGTGGCTATGATCAGCGACTGGCAGAGAATCGTGAATATTTGCAAGAGCTCAAGACGTTAGCTACAGAGGAGGGGGTCGCCGACCTAGTGATCTTTGTACCATCGTGCTCAACGTCACAAAGAAACGCTCTCCTGGCGGCTTGCATCTGCGTTCTTTACACCCCTAAGGTATTCTCATCGTCGCGAATTTTTCTTTAAGCTATTAGCTGTAAGGCTTGTTTGCGAAACCTAGGTGAGTTATAATATGCATTTACCGGGCTTACTGATATATGAGAGGTTTGAAAAGCCATCTTAGATATTCGATTACTTTTCTTTAGTTACTAAATTGAACCTTACTACCAAAAAAATGTTTCCTCTCGGGAACTTTATGAAACGTCTCAAGCTCTAACCTGTTTGTTGTAAGCTCATTAACTTGATAGGGTTCAGGATTTGTTCCTCATGCTAATGTTCGTTGCAGAATGAGCATTTCGGCATTGTGCCTCTGGAGAGCATGGCTGCCCAAAAGCCAGTTGTGGCTTGCAACAGTGGGGGGCCTAAGGAAAGTGTTCAACATGGTAAAACAGGTTATTTATGTGAATCTAACCCGGCGAGCTTTGCTACTGCAATGAGCCTTATTCTTCAGGATCCCTCTAGGGCAGAAATTATGGGCAAGGATGCCAGAAAGCATGTGGAGGAAAACTTCTCAAGGCAAGTGTTTGGTGAACGACTGAGCACTGTGATTCAGGACCTTTTGAAGGACAGTTTGTAGCACAAGGATAGCCGCTTGCATAGAAAGTTTTTTGCAGATAATGTACGAATAATTAGAGTAAGGAGGATAAGTTTTGAATGGACTGCTGCTGGTCGTTATCAAGTTTGAACTTGACATAATCCTTGCGCAGATTGTTTTCGCATCTTGTTTTGAGTGTTTCGACCTATTTTTTCAAACTTCTTGGATGAACGTGCTTTGCAGCTATGTTGTTAATCTCCAATGCGAAATGATGTGGTGATCAACACTTCTACATATTGGCAGCGGCTAACTGCTTAAACACGTACAGTTCGTTAATTCCGTCTACGTTACTAACTCAGAACAGATTCACTTAGCTACCTACGCAGGGTATATTCAAATAGTTCTCATACTTTCTGACTCTCAATATTGAAAATTCCATATCATCTCTTCAGTTGAACCGCTACTTCCTGTTGAACGGTCCACGAGAGTGAATTCAACTTTCATTGATATTTTCCAGCATTGCTGCCTAGAAAGTTCGCAAGGCACGCTGCTGCCGCGAAGCTCTACTAAATTTACGTTCAACCTAGCACTGCAAACTCAGAAGTCGGTAAGACGGCCGCCATAGCTTCTTTCCTCAACTGTTCGTCCTCAGCATCCTGTAGGTGACATGAACAAACTTTGATCAGATCGGAAAAGTCTCCCCTTTGAACGCGTACACAAAGGCCTCTATAAACTGCATTTCACACTTCGTAGTTCATAGCTCAACATGGATTCCATTCCACTGCGGTTTTCTTTCAATGCATGAACATAGAGAACTGAACAATGCAAGGGTGTTGCTTGACAAGCTCGGAAGGACAGTGGAGACGCAAACACAGAGGAAAAGCTAATCTCAATTCCACTTTTCCACACCTTGAGAAACAAGTGAAGAGCGTCTTCTGCGTCATACGCTTTTACGATTCCTATTGCTATATCCTGCAAAACATTGAAGAACCCAAAGCTTAGACAAAGTTTTCCCAGCGTGTCAATATTTCCTCCGACACTATCAACTGGTAAGAGACCTCGAAACAGCCAACTCGGTCCGGAATCGGTTAAGTCACTAGAAAATGGAGGAAACCCAGCATTGATGTTTGGGAGTAGAGTTCCGAAGCACTGCAGTAAATCGTGGCAAGACATATGGTTGAAGGAAGGAGAACCTTGGCTTCTTTAATAGCGCTAATATCGAGTGTGTAAGGCTCCAAATCCATGGAAGATTGGCGAAGACCCCCGACATCGTCTTCAATTCCCGACTCCAACTCCCCATTCTGCACAACAAGAATTTCTAAACCGCCCGAGGCTTGGTTACTAAGCCCCCCCGCTGCTTCGTAAAGACCAGAACCCAAGCCCCTAGCCAACGCCAAATACCCATACTCCTTCAATTCGAACGTCGTTGGAACCTGATCCTCATTCGGAGACTCGTGACCCACAAGGTGCTTTACCTCCCCTCCCATATAACTCCCGAACTGGCCGATGTGATAGATTGAAAGCCACAAGAAGAAGAAGAAGAAGAAGAAGGAATGCTGAGTGAAGCAGCTGCCCAACAGTAACCGAGACCACAAGACTGGTGAGTGTCACTGTTTCTCTCAGCACTGTTTTTGCCGCATCCCTTCCACCATAGTCCGCATGAGCACGCAGGTATTGCCTCCTCTCTAATAAGTCCTCCTTCTCCCTATCCAGCTGAAGTCTAGTTCGTTCGTTCGGCCGAGTGAGAAGAAGACCTTGATACTTTGCAGTCTGGAATCCATCCAACCAGTGAATGAGCACCGAGGAAACCATCACGTGTTGGCCGTCGAGACCGACACTTCATCACCCTCAAGGAAAGTACTTCTTCTTCTCACTCTCACTCACTCTCACTCACTCTCACTTATTCGCACTGTCAGTCTGTTTGCATGTGTGTGAGAGAGATTCTGTCTTTCATGCATCTTCAGTCCCCCCTCTCCCCCATAATTGGATGATACAGCACCATCGGACCACTTCGAATACACACACAGTGTTGTGACTCAATTGTGGGAACTGCTGCATCTCATGTCAAAACCGTGGGTTTTGACCCAGTCTTTTTTGAGTTTTGTGTGTGTATTTTTTTTTGTTTTTTTGGTTTGGTTGTGTATTTGGTTTGGAATTGGATCTTGGACGCTTTGTCCAGAATGGGTTTGTACTGCCAGAGGCTCAAAACCCCCAACTGGTAGATCTCTTGCGGAGGTCTGTCCCTTGCTGTGTGAAAATTGATAGATTGCAAAAATGAGAATCAATAACCGTGAATTGAGCAAATTTTGAGTTGAATTCTATTCATGCATGGGTAATTATTATAGTGCATATATATATATATACCCTAATTTTCTTTGCTTCAGAAATATTAGTTCTACCAGAGTTTCATTTGAAATCCATAATGCTCATGTTGTACAATTAATTAAGCTTTTAAAAGGTGCACTGTATTTAATTAATTTGTCTTGAATGAAATCAAGAACACTGAGTATTTAATTGACGTTAAATTGATGAAGACATTTTAAAATTTAATTAATGATTGGTAAAGAAAAGAATAAATCTCTACCTCAATTTGGATTAAAACTCTTTGTACTGAAAAGATATAGAATAAAGCTAATCTTTTTTTTTTTTTTTTTTTTTTTTTTTTGTTCTGTTCTAATATCTGAGATATTGAAAAAATTTTAATAAAAAATATTTTAAAGTCATCTTTAAATTTATTGTACACATGATTATGATTCTTTTGTCCTTTTGCAACAAACAGGAAAAAGATGAATATGGTTTTCAAAAATAATAAAATCAGTGTACATATGCAACAAATTAAAAAATTCATGTCTTTAAATATTTGTTGATGTAGATTATATATATACATACATACTTACAAGTGATTGGTTTTGCATGGAGTTAGTTTAATTTAGTATCAATATTTTACAAGATATCATATTTAATAATCTAATTTTACATAATTTGATAAAATATACAATAGAAGTTATTTATATGTTAAAATCTATTAGAGTTTTTTCAAGCATTGGTAATATCTTTGTAATTTCATGCTTCATTGTGTAAAAAAAGGAATGAAATCCATTTCATGCACTTTCTAAAAATATTCATTAAAATTTAATTTTAAAATAGTTTTGTACAATTGTATGGATATAATTAAAATAAATCTATGTTTAATTATACATTTCTCACTTATTTTGTTCAATTTAGTTACCAGCTTGTTCATCCTAAAGGATGGTGAATACTTTCATAATATATACTTATTGTCACATGATATGGCACTGGGTGCCAAATCTTGTCAAATGCATGTAGTTTAGTTTGGTTAGTGGTTTTTCATCCATTGAAAATTTTCCATTAGTTAATGCCATATCATGTATTTCAATGGATGAAAAACAACTAACCAAACTTGTTGCTGCATAGTGTATTCCTTTGTTAATGTCAACTAAGATTTGGATACTAAGGGTTTTACGAGTGATTTTCGAGAGAGAGAATTCGTTGTAAGGTTTTGCTTGGCTATGGTGATTTAGCCATATTAGTAAAGCTTAGGGTTTTCTCTATTTCACACTTGCATTTTTGGATTTCTCCTTTGTGGTGTGAGAGATAGCTTGACTTAGTTTGGTGTAGATTCTAAACTTTCACTTGACAAAAATAAAAATAAAAATAGAATTAAAACTCTTCTCTTCACTGTTTTCTGGGTGTTCCTGTTTTGTTATGTTTTCCCACTGTACCACAGTACTGGAGTATTGTTGCGGTACTGTGTAGTGCAGTACACTATGCAGCAACAAGGTACGAGGTATAGGGTCGCACATGAGACACAAGGTCGCACTGGAGTGCATTGGGGCGGGTTGTAGTGCAAATAACAAGTCGCGGTGCACAAAAGGGTCGTAGGGAGGTGTGACTACAGTGATGCTGGATTGTTCAAGGCGGAAGCCCGTGCAGGGTCACGGCATTGGATTGTGCGAGGCAGAAGATCTTACGACGTGGTGGTTCATTGTTGCAGCACATGAGTTTCTCAAAGCACCCTCAATATGCTCTTTGCACACCCTTTTTTTATTTTGGTGCCTCGTAGCTTACGTCTCGTGGCCTCCAGTCTAGAGCGTTGAGTGTCTGCAGTCGATGGATGGAGCTGGTTTGCATAGCTAAATTTCAAAAAAAATATTTCAAGTTCCGAGGGGTACTGCTGTTTGGTGTGTGGGTGGTGCGACGTAGTGGTTTGGTACATAAATCACGTGAAAAACAAGTGGGATCTGCGGCAACTTGTAGTGGCAGTCGGTGACACATGGTCATAGGAGTGCAATGATAGAGTTACATGGTCATAGAACATTCACAATAAAAGGATCTACGTGGTTAAAGGCCACCATGACAATAAAGAATGCAGAATCATAGGGCCAAAACGGTAAAGGGATTCATTGCGCGGTCATAGGGCTTTATTTATTTTTAAAAAAACATTGCCTAGAATTCTTAGGTGTCAAATTTAGAAGCTCACTCTAAGTGCATATGGAGTCCAAATTTGATCATTTTTGAGTCAATTTTATGTAGAAGAGGCCCAAGTAACGTATTAGCATTCTTGGTTTTTGGAGGAGAGATCATTTGGAGCATTGAAGTAGTATTTACTAAATGTTGATTGCTTTCTAAGTGAGTTTTTGATTTTCTCTCAGTTTTCTAAATTTCATTTTATTGCTATTATCTTTTAATGTCATAAGTTTTTTGATTTGTGACCATCAACCACTAGCAATGTTGTAATAGAAAGAGAATTTGCATCAAGAAAGCATTGGGCCTCTACCTGCCTTTAATTGCTTAAACGAATTATAAGTTTATAAAACACAAATCTTATTTATAGCTTGTCTTCCTGAAGACATTTACATCAAATGCACAAGTCTAGGATGCACAAGAGTTCCTAAGATGTGACTAGATATCCTAAAACCACTTCTATTCTTATGGAAATTCCTTCCAAATATATATTATCCTATAGCTTCTAATCTATTCATCTAATTGGATTCTAACTTTTTTATGGATTATTTTATATCTTTAACTATCTTTCCAACAAAATTTGAGTATAAATTCATTAGAAATCTTTGGATATTGCCTAATTTCTAGTAAGTGCTAAACATGTCAATTTTTAGGCCCTCGCATATTAAATCTATTATATCTCAAAAATCCAATACTCAAATATTATGAATTTTTCATATGCAATTTTTTAACATAGTCATCTACACTTGTAGAAATTTTGAGTCAAAAATTCATCCAAAAACTCAAAATATGGTCCAAATAAAAACCTCTATGAAAAGAACTTACTTATAAACTCTAGTTTTAAAGCATAGACTTCAATAGCTCTTCTTCCTTTGTTCCAAATCAGAATTTATCAATTCCTTTACATAAAATGTAGCTCCTTAAATCAGCTTTCCAATAGAACCTTTTAATAATTGAATGCCTTTCTACAACTCTCTATATGCTTAAAAGAATAACAGTAAGTATCAAATTCACATCCTAATTTCAAATAACCATATTTTTTCCATCCAAAATCCAAACTGCACATTTATTTTATCCAATTTTTAGATCAAAATACAAACTTTTTGAATCCAATCTCCAAACTTCAAATGCATTGCCTTACCTTGAATGGTTTGCCTTGCCTCAAATGGATCATTTGAAGTAGCTTCAAACTCTAGTGTGGTGTCAAATAACATCTCAAAGCCCATTAGACATGATTTTTAACCAATAAGAATGAAGTCTTCTATGATTCACTTTATCTACTTACATAGAATGGCCTAGAAGCCAAAAAATTATACTTTTGATACCAAATCCTTTCTAAACTCTTTACTAATAAATCCAACAACTTCTATCTTTAAATATAAAACTTAAATTATAAATTTAAATAAATTAGGTAAGTATTTTATTTTATTTTATTTTATTTTATTTTTAATTATAATTCAAACTTTTATAAAATTTCATATTATTTTTACATATTATGCTACTTTCTTATATGATAGTGGATATTGATTGCTTTTGTTTATTTTTTATCTTTGTTTCTATATTCTTGAAGATGAAGATCTAATGTAGATTTATAATTAGAAATTGATATTATTGACCTGGTGTATATTAGAAATTGATATTATTGATTTATTTCACCAAATTACTTGGATTATGATCACACCAAGGATTTTGAACTAGTCGTGAATATTATTGAGTTTTTTTAGCCTGTTTCAACATTGGAATACTATTAAGAGGCTTTGAATCTCGAAAGTGGATATATTTTATAAGATGGATGATGATCTTTGTAGTATGGTAAAAGATTGATTTTTAAGAAGACTTTGGGACATTACTTTGCCAAATTAGAAATTCAAGTTTCAAATGTAGATGAAAGAGAAGCATCAAAGGTCTCTTACTATCAATGACTGGTATGCCTTTGAGCTATTACTACAATACTTTGAGCATGAGGTACTTCAAATATATGGAAGGTGGAGTGAAGAATACTCACTTAAGTTATGAGAAGTAGAACATTATTAGGAGGATACTATTTCAAGTCTAATGCCTATAGAGAAGAAAGAAGATTCTATCTAAAGAGAAGTTGGTATATCTTTGAAATACAACAAAAAAATAAAAAATAAAAAATATCTACTTTCTTAATTAATATACGACCTATTTTGTTACAAATTGCTTAAGTAATGAAGATGACTTTATTTACAATGGAAGAACCACCATCATTTGAGTTTCTTCAAATTTTTATTAAATACTTGGAGCAAAGTATGGAGGTTTTAGATGTGATTATATACAACACATTCAACACTTTTGACATAAAAAGGAAAATATTTCATATAATATGTATACTTGTTTGGCTTGATTTGTAATAGAATCAAAGAGTATATATATTGAAAGCCAACTTATTAAAATTTTCTTATTTAAGATTGACAAGAGACTTTTGAATTTAGCCATATTAAGA